ACTAAAAATATTGTACATAGAAAAACCCATTTCCTTTGGTTTTATAAAAATCAGTGACAAGTCATGGCCAGTGTAGAATAAGCATTCATAGAATCATGGAATCACAGAGTAGTTTGGCTTGGAAGGGACTTTCAAAGGTCACCTAGTCCAGACCAAGGACAGCTTTCACTAGACCAGGATCTTCAGAGCCCCATCCAACCTGGCTCTGAACATTTCCAGGGATGGGGCATCCACAGCTGCTCTGGGCAACATTCAGACTTTTAGCCAAATTTGGAGTACCCAGCCTAACAGAGCAAAAACCCCATCCTGGACACCAAAAAGGGACAACTACAAACAAGGCTGGAGGCTGAGGGAGGCAGCTGAGGGCCTCTCATTGTTTCCCCAGGCTCCCTGGTAGTGTGGTATTGCAGGCTCCTCCAAAGCATCACAATTAGACTTCTGCCCGTATTTTATTCTCCAGGGAAATATGATTCCAATTAGAGACAAGAAAGCACCAAGCAATTTATCAGGGTAAACAAGATGTCGCATGCTAGGCTGCAGAAAAGCATCTCATACATTCTCCCTAATAAAGAAGATTTTTCTGGAGTTGTGACACCCACTGAAAACCAAACAAAAATTTAGCTGGAGTTCAAAATTTAACTAGAGCAGGAGCTTGAGCAGCAGAACAAGTCCCTGGTACTGAAAGGGCACAATTCCCAATACCCAAATCCCATGGCTCTAAAGCACAGGTGGAGCCATGCACCAAGCTGTACTGGCAATATGGACAGTCAGCAAATACAAGGGAGACTGTGGAGAGAATCTGGAGGTGAATTTTCGACTCTAATCAGATCTGAGATTACTGCCAAGGGTCTTTGTCACACTCATAGCAGGCATGATTTGGTTTGCTATTATATATTCATATGGTCCCATTCAGAACAAGCTTGTTTCATTACAATGGATTCCACTGTGCTTCACAGTCCTGCTTCATTTCTTCCAAGGCAAATTCTTCAAGAGATTAACCTGACACATTTACTCCCCTGATAATGAATCCTGTCTTTTCTGATATCATTACCAATTTCAAGCACATACCAAGAAATAGGCATAAAATTTTTTAAACATAGTGACTTGAAAGCTTTCTTGTTTCCACATTTTCTTGGTACAACACATTTCACTTTACATGTAATGTTGTAAAATTCAGCTCAAGTAAATATAAAATAAATTATTAAGCTTCTAACCAAATACTTCCAGTCCTAAAAACTCTCTTTACTGAGCTTGAAGTGCTCCACTGCGCAGCACAGCTCTAACTAGAGTTCAGATTTTAAGGTTCTTGAAGGAGCAATTGTTCTTTTCTTGGAGTTCAACATATTATTCTTATGTTTCATATGCACAGAAGACATTAGTAAAGATAAACTGTGCAACTGGTAATTGAAATTAGAGTTGCAACATCTATTATGGTAACATCCACTGTGCCACATCTTCAACACACTGGGAATGAAAAGGATTTTGCATATGAAGCACCAGTTGTGATACTCACTGGAACAAAAATGCAATAAGAAACAGAATAAAATACATTTACACAATATGAAGTTTCCTAAAATTACTTACATTGTCATTACTAGTCTTCTACCATCTTGACAGATAAATTAAGTAAACCCCCAGTACAATTCTGAGGTGTCTGAGGAAAGTCAGGCTCTTCTAAAGCTCAGAAAGTTCACAGCAAAGAAACCTGTTCAAACATCAGTTTCCTTCTGAAAAATGCAAATGTACATAATATCTGCCCACATAACAAGGAGAAACCTGCATGATCTTTGGAAGAATTCTTTGAACTGTCTTCTTACCAAAATTGCAGAATTTACCAAATATTTCTGAGATTTCAAAATTAGGATTTTTTATAAAATAAGAGGTAGATAAAACTATATTGTCTTTGAAATCCAAGTAACCATTAAGTGATTATAGTATCAACAAAGCTCTAATAAAAAGGCCACCAAGTGAAAGACTATCCAATTCAAGCATACTCCTGAGACCTGCTTAGCATTTCAGCTCTTTATAAATTTCTTCCAAATCAACATCTTTTCACAAGACTGTAAAATTTGCTTAACATTATCACATCAGGAAACAAAAGCTTTTCTGTATTTTAACTGATTATCACAGTAACTGCTACTTTACATGATATTAAAAAAAAAAAAAAAGAAAAAAATACCCAGACATTGCACCCTGTCTGGTTGGGGTACCCATTCTTTAGGGATAATCTAAAGTCCTCTGTGTGGAAATAAAAGCACAGACTATTTTAGAGCAAGAAGCAATTAGAAAGATGGAAATTAATATCAATTTCCTATTTCCAGAGTGCTTCAGACTGTATGTGAAGATGATTTCTAAGACACATGACAAACTTGGCTACATCATCTGTCCAAATCTGGTGTGTTAAGTAAAATGACTTAAAAGGAAAGCAAGAAAGGTATTTATCTATATATATTAAAAATTTTCCATTTTATACCATTACAGGAACACTGCTTTAATCACCAAGAATGAGTATTTGCTCCCCATCCTGTAACTTGGTACTCCCTGTACTGGCATCTTTTAATTGGGATCAGGACTCAAGAAATAGCTCTTTAAAATCTGATACAACTCCAGTGAACTGAAGGACTGGATCAAAGCCTGGCTATCCATGGTGATACTGCAGTCAGAGGCAGCTTACTAAATATTTTAAATACATAAAGATAAATATGCAGGCCTGTAAATCACTACAAACCAAAACAATAGATGATCATTAAGGTCCCTTCCAACCCAAACCATATGATCCCATTTCTGCAAATGCCTCCTGGAAAAAGACAGATTATCTGCTTCATTCATTTTCTAATGAGCAATGTTCAGGAGTTTTATTATTATTAATTGCATATAAATTATCATGATTTTTGTATCCCTGGGAAAGTATTTAGCCATTCACCTCTTAGAGGAACAGTGCTGAACAAAGGCAATGAATGCAAGGCATATAAGAACAATGCAGAACACAGAAATTTATGCATGCCATTTAAAAGGCATGGCATTTAAAAAAATCAAAAGTATGTCATAAATCTTTAATTATAAGGAAAAAAAAAAAAGCCCAACTAATGTTTGTCAAGTCCTTGATAATATTTAAGCAAGAGCACTGCCTACTTCAGGAGTGCAAAATCTTCTTAGCTCACTTATCTGCTTGTACATCAACCTCCTCTGAAGTGTTCTGCTGCAAAATTCATTGTATCTGAGATCTGCTAATCATCATCAGGAAACTCTGTTATGCATCTTAAGGATGTACTTTAGGCTCTCAAGAGGAAAAATAAATACGTTTTATTAGCTGCTTTTGGAAAATACTGATTTGTATTTATTTAGAAACCTTTTCAAGTTGCACCACTGTTAAATTAAATATTTATGGCATGATTTTCCAAAGAGTTTAACACCTGTTAAGAGTTTTACATGCTGAATTCAACAGAGACCAGCATTTCTGCAAACCTCAGCAGTGACAAGGCTGGGATGTGACGAAGGAGCTTGAGCTTGGATGTCGCTGCTGAGCTCTGAAATGCAACCAGGATCCTGCCCAGCCCCTACTTCCCACCCAGCAACGCATTTCAGACAACTGAATTGGTCCTACTTTACTGGAAATACCAGAAATACGACTCATTAATACCTGTTAACTGCAAATAAAGCATAAGCTAAATGCTGTTATGTTAATCCTCAATGCATCTTCCCCATCCTTTACCAGTGGGAAACTTACCTGCAACTCACAGGGGAGCCTAAAATCCCAGTGAGTCAACAGCTGGAAAGCAAAGCTTTTGATACTGAGAATGAGAAGCTGAATGAGGATGAAGCCAAAAATACAGAATAAAGAAGAAAAGATGTCTGATATACTGTAAAAATTTGTATCTGGTGACAGTGAGGCCAGTGACTTTGGCATTTGGCTTCTCAGCCCAAACTGAAGCCCGTGCCTCTGGCCTCACTGTCAAATAAAGTTAAAACAAGGGGTTAGGTTTTGCCATCCTTATTTTCCTCAGCTTCTGAGAGATTTGCACTTAGTATCCTTCCCAACATCATGTCTTCAGGTACCCCATGTATCCTGTTCTTTCACAAACAGATGTTTTTCTCACACCTTGCAGGTGGCTAAATTCCTGCCCTCCCAGGTCCCTTACCCAGTTTCAACACATGCCTAAATCTGAACAGCCATGCAAAGACAACATTTCATATTTCAAAATTAAATATCGAGATTACCTTGTGGCATTTGGCCTATCATTCTGGCAGTAAATAAATAGGCAATAAATAAATAAATAACATCTAAGTAAGAAATTACTATACGTCAAAATTATTCAAATGATGATCCAACGTGACTTCATAAACCACAGACAGATAAAACAGTTGAATATTGCAGATTGGACACATCACTCTCCTTATACATTTTACAGCACACTACAAATCTGCCCAGCAAGTTGAGTATTTCTCTCATTAAAACAGGAGCTTTCATCACACTATAAAACATTTTGTAAAACATTTTCAAATGCAGACAAGCATATTTACTGTAAAGCTTTGTATTTGTGTCATCAATTAACAACAAAAGTTTGGAATAAAACTAAAATAAAAGCTAATCAAAGCAGCTAGCTGTCAAAACAGATGGGAACTATAGTTTTCAAATCAAGCAAAAAGGAAAAGCTTTCGAACATTTAGTGTCACGTCAGCTCATACAGACAACTTAAAGGAAGGAGAGCAAATGTCAGGATTTTATGAGGAAAAGGTGTCCCTGGCTGATATATTCACATTTGTGAATTTCCATTGATTTTGTGGGTTTTTTGGCTTTGGGATGATTAACTCATCAAAGCAAACCTCTGAAATGTGAACTATAAATAAGGTGTCGCCATGACAGTGCAGGCAAAATAAATAAAAACAGAGCCTCGACATTATTTTAGCCTCAAACAAATGTTTCAGTCCCTACATTGTCTGGCTCAGAAAGATACATAGACAGTCTCACAGACAGAGATATAAATGAACAATTGCAGTACCTTTTTCCCACACTGTTTACAGGGTTGGCTATATTCCTACTGGCAATAGATTTTCTTCTTGACAGCTTCTTGGTGTTGGTGCTGTCATCAGTGCTGTCATCCTCTTTCTTTGGTGTGTTACTTCCTTTGCTGTTCAGGTCCCTTAGCACATTATAATTAATTTTACTTGAGATTTTCTTCTGTTCTAACATCTTTTCAATTGCCTCTCCTGCTGTGCTGGCTTGAATTGGCTCCCGCTTCTTTGCAGATTTCTTTGGCTTAATTAAAATATAAAATTAGTGATGTAGATACAAACAAAGTTTCCATGAAGCAGAGGGGCAAGCTGGAGTGCAGCAGTCCTGGCTCAGGTGCTGCTGATGTGGGGGATGCAGGTGATGTGCCCAGGCTAAGCCAGTGCTCCATCTCCTGCCACTCAATGGGATCAAAGGGTCTCTCTTCTCCAAGAGATGAATGTTTGCTTTTATGCAAAATGCCCAGAGAGTTTATTAGAAATTCTTTACTTAATAGAGAGAGAGAAGAAGGATGGGCCAGTGAACTCATGTTACAGGAATAGGGACCTCACAGCATCACCCAGCATGGAAATAAAGAACCTCCCCTGCTAAAACTGCCTTTAAAGAGAGAGTGAAGCTGGGTCACGACTCCCCAGAGCACTGACAACAACACAGAACCGCGGCCGTGTTTCAGACCAAATCTGAACACAGCGTGGGAAAGGCTCTGCCCAGCTCCTCCTCCTCGCTGCAAAGGGCCCAGAGCAGGAGCAGCAGCAGCTTCCCAAGCCTGGGCTGCCATGGGACAGGCAGCAGGAGGCTGCAGGCACAGGAGCTCTGTCACCTCTCCCAGGCACAGGCTGCGAGCCCAGCGATGCTGTGCAGAGCCAGGCAACCAGGAATGACACCGGAGAACATTTCCAGCCGTGTCCCGTGCCTGGGTAGGTAGGAAAAAGAAAACAACCCAGAACCTCTGTTTCTCATTTGGCATTTTCCTATTCAAAGGAAGGTTTTAACACCAAGCTCTGCAGGAGATTTATTTTTTAATGGATAATAGCCCCTCTGTTTACCTACATGGGTCAAGTGCTACCTTGAAATTGGAAAGCACCATATTAATCAAGTTCTACTCGAGCTGTCAGAAACAATAAAAGGTTAGAGAAAAACTCCTGTGTTGTCCGAACAAAAAAGTGGGTGTTTGGGCTACATGGCAGTGCCAAGGAGTTATACAATTTTGAAAATTGCTGGTAGACTGCCACGTCTGCATAAATGCAGGATGAATGAGAAACTCTGAAGTCTAAAACAGTGTTTCATTGTCTGGTTTTGTTTTTATTGTTGAAATACCTAGGGGAAGCAGGAAACTCTGCCTTTTGCATTAGTCAGAAAAGAAGATAGAGGATATACATGCTAAAAACTAACATGATTTTAGCTGTATGTGGAAGATTTGAGTTGTCACTTGCTCAATTACACAAAATACTAATGCTGTAAATCGTGAATATACGGCCAATTAGGCTGCTTTAAACTGCTAAACATGGAGACAGGACATGCCATTTGTTAACATAACCGTTGCATTCTTTATGAAAGGTAGAACAAAATACCCCTTCAAGTGACTGTAACAAGGATCTGTTCAGTTCTTCATAAAGAAATCATTATTGTAAGAGCAAAGAAAGCCACTGAAGTTATGGCAAGTACAAACAAATTCCCCATGCACATGTTAAAAAAAAATCAGATGTCTTAAAACCTGTATTTTAATAAGCAAGCAATTAGAACAGCAATCATAAATGCAAAGAGCTAGCTCTGATTTTGACATGCACAGAATTTTCTCATAATAGCAATTTAAAATAAAAGTTTGGGCAAGAAAGTGTTTTACTCACCACCTAAAAAAAATACAGCCTTGCAATTCAGTAGCAGCTAGATGTACTGTAGGTTTTGTTCCTTTAGTGGTGACCTGTACCATTATGCCCATACATCTACATGGAGCTGATCAGCAGATATAATGAATTTCCAGGACATTTTCAAACAGACACAATTAACACATAATTTAATACCTTGTGTTCCTTATAAATCCCAAGTTCTTTCTCTTTTGCTATTCTTGCTTCCTTTTCTGAAAGATGACAAAAGGGTAACCAGCATGAAAATTACACAAGACTGCATATTCCAGCAACACCAGCCAAAAGGCAAATTTCAGGCCTACATATTTACCTTTTTGTTCCTTCAAATAATCTGCATTTTCTTTCATCCATAGCTCTGCTTTTATCTGAGCTTCAGCTTCATTAAGTATATACTAAAAGAGAAAACAAATTTATCTACTTTCAGAAATCAAATTGAAAACCACAGAGCAAAACAGAACTGAAAAACCACTGGCAAGGTCATTCCATATGCCATTTTTAAAAATACATTAAAAGAAAATAGGAGTGATATAAGACAATCAGAGAGTATTTCTAGTAACATCTGAAGCTGGTACAAGCAACAACCTGCTTTCAAGAAACAGTGCTTGATTTCCAAACTATGATGAAGTGACCAAAAACCATCCAGGACTCATTATACACGGTCTATTAATTAAACAAAAATTATCCTGGGTTTATGATCTTTTTCAGATGATACAAGAGGTTATCATGACAACGTGGTTGTCTGCAAGTAATTCTTGTGTGTTGGTGGTGGTCTGTAATTCAAAACAGGATGGGAACCATTGCCCTGTGCGACCAAAACAAAAACATGTGTCTTCTGGGTAGGTTTCTGTGAAGCTTTACACTGAGATTATTAGTTCAATGGCCACATCTGTGTGAAGGAAACCAGCTCAGATTGCTGGAGCTTTAGCCCTCTAGATTTCAGACAGCTGGGTTCCGTAACCACATGTAGATGTTTTGCAGTTAACTCCACCTAGTCTCCATAACATCTTGACTGAGAATGGAGCTATAAAATACATCTAGGACTATTCAGATGAATCACAGAAATAAATAGACATATAGGTAGCAATTACTTAATGGTAGATGACCTAAATGTAAAAATTAACCCAGTATTTAGCCCAATTAGCAATGAAACAGAAGTTCTCTACAGACGATGCTGTTTGGGAGGGAAGACCAGCAGAATGGAGAAGACAAATGAGGTCATCCATCATGAACAAGACACTTCAGTTTTAAGCAGTGCACCTGAGACTGTAAAATTATGTTTAAGTGCAAGAAAAGCAATCTGAGGTTTCTCCATCTTTTCGGTCTGAGCATTCAAGATTTTATCCAAAGTAAGATGTACATCTAGGATTTCATAAGAAAAATAATTCCAGTCAAACGAAACTAATGCAGGGAGGAGTCTTTCCTCTAAGGGCTAAACAAGAGAGCAAATGGCTGTGCAAGTCCTGGTTTATCAGACCAATACTTTCACTCTTTCATTTGCTTCTATTAAAAGTGGGCCATAACAGTAAAACCCACTTTTCCCTAGCTCAGTTATTCATCCCTCTTAGGCTTTCAGAGATTTCATAATCTTGGGCTTACAATATTACAGTCTATTGCCACAGAAATGAACATGAAGTCATAAAAGCAGAGTTATGACCTCATCACAGAGCCTAGGAAGTGCAGAAAATGTGTTCTTCCCCAGTGATTGTTTTAATTATGGACTGGCTATGGTTAAGAACCTCAGCCTTCCTGCTTCCTTCCTCCATTCAACGTCTGCTCAGATCGTGAGACACTAATGCCCAGCCTAGCAAATCCCACCTCACAGCTACGTTTTGGACATCAGTAATTCCTGTGCAACCTCATCAGTCTCAGTGATTTTGTACCCCAAAATAAGTTTTTAGCACTGGCATTATCTGTTCAAATGACACTGTAAAGCAGTGTGGCAGCTGGAGAGGGCATCAGGCTCAGAGAGCTGGATTGTGGCATGTCCAAGTTCTGACCAGCTGTGTGCCCTCCAGCAAGCTCTTTTCCACAGCCACGTGTCTGTCCCACTCAGTCTGCATGTTAAATGGCATTTTTTGCTGCCACACCAATAAAAATAAATCCAGAAAACATCACAGAAATCTTTGGAAGTACTTAAGAGCCACACATACTGGTTTTACAGTTTGGTTTCCATGGCAGCCTCCTATGTTGAATCTATCTTAATTAAACAATGAATGTAGAGCTCCACCAAACTTTTTAAAGTTCTCCTTTGGAATAAAAGACATTCTAAAACATAATTATTCCAGCATGTTAAAAGCAAGCAGCAGCAGCAGCCTTATAAATATATATGTAACTTGGGCAAGGAACACCAAATTCACAGGTTTGCATGAACATTAGATTTCAGACCACTAAAATTGCTCAAAGCTCTCTATAGATCAGAGAGAAGAGGCAGTTGCAGAGAGCATAAACCAGGTAAGAAGCATTTTGTCTTTCCCAGTTACCCAGACAAGCAGGATAAGAGACAGCAGGGACCACAGGGCACCTTACCCGATCTATTTCACTGTCATCGATTCCACTCAGATCTAATTCTCCATCCCCTGTATTCTCACCTAGAGAAAAGAACACATTTTAATCAGCCAATATGTTTGTCCAATATCTACTGCAACTTAAGTTCTGCAGTAATGTAACACTTCAGGACTGTCCTTCAGAAATTTGCATCCTTCTGCCTTCATCTAGGAGGTTTAATGTGTTGCTGAGTATTTTCACTACAGAACTTCACGCACAGAAATTCACCACATTGGATTAATTTAAAATTCAGGAACCAGCAGTCTTCATCAGTACTAAAAATCAGCCAGAGACTTCCAGTCGCCTTTTTTTCACCCATTTTAATTTACAGCCACAAATGTTCAGCAGGAAGCTGGGGAAACCATTTCAGAAAGATGACCACTTTTCTTTCATCATAACAAAAATTTCTCTGTTAGAGCATATAGGTCAGTAATTTATCTTTAAATTATGACTTAGAAAATATTGTCTATTTTCAGGGAAGCAGCACAGACCACTGCTGACAGTTACACCACGGCTTTCTTCTTGACTTTCTATAATTACAATTTCACTTCAATTTTGCTAGTTTGGTAGTTATTAAGACTTCTGAAAACAAATTTTCAAATATTCCATCCATTAAAAAGCATAACAGCACAGAACTGAGGCTTAATTTGGGATTGGAACAGCATACAGCTGCAAAACCTGATTTTCCACATCACATTAAAGAACTATAGTAATACACTATTAATGTAGTCCAGGTAGAGAAGAAAACAAATTATTTAACAAAGACTTATGCTGGGGAATGAAGCAATCTTCTTGGTCATCTCCATTACATCTAATAAAGATCAAACAAGAGATGACCTCACCAGTTCACTTCAGAAAATATAAACAAATTAAGTTTCAACAATCAACAATAACAAATTAAAACCAAAGTGGTGCAGAACAGCATGGCATGTTCACAGCTCCCACTCCCCAGTACTGGGGATGTGCCTCCCCACAAACTAAGACCTTTGATGGATTGATTCCCCAGCCTGGTGCTCCTGCACAGTGCTGGAGCAGCAGAGGGTGATGCCAGGATCTAGTGGCAGGTCATGGCAACCAAACGATAAAGTCAAGCAAAGCTTGGAATTAAGAGCATTCCCAGAAGATAAAACCATGATCTGCTCAGCAAAAGTCAGGGGTTTAAACCAGTTGCCTGAAGAATGTGAAATAACAGGGCTGGGAATCCAACAAAAACACCTGGTTAGGAATAAAGTCTGAGCTTCCTTAGGGGGTGTAAAGGGTATGGCTGCTCAACTAACAGACATTCCCTGGGATCAGACACTGAGCACTCACAAATGTCTTTTCACAATCCATCTTAAACAACCAACATAAAGTTTTATACTTTCCACCCCAAGCCAGAAGCAAAAGGGGATTTAACCCCCCTAAAAATGTCCAATCACAAGGAACAGCATAGAATCACAGAATGGTTGAGTTGGAAGGGACCTTAAAGATCATCCCCTCCCAACTCCCAACAATGGGCAGGGACACCTTCCACCAGACCAGGCTGCTCAAAGCCCCATCCAACCTGGCTTTGAACACGTCCAGGAATGGGGCATCCACAGTTTCTCCAGGCAGCATATCCCAGTGTCTCACCACCCTCAGAGTAAACAACTTCTTTTTAATATCCAATCTAAACCTTCTATCAGTTTGAAGCCATTCCCCATTGTCCAGTCATTCCACACCCTTGTAAAAGGTCCCTCTCCAGCTCTTTTGTAGCTCTTTAAGCTACTGAAAGGCTGGAGATGGGTCACCCAGAAACCTTCTCTTCTCCAGGCTCAACAATTTCAGTTTTCTCAGCCCTTCCTCACAGGAGAGGTGCTCCAGCCTTCTGTAACACTATGGTTAGATTTTTTTCCTGAGATTGTCTCATGAAAGTAATATCAAGTTTACCAGTTCAGATGATGTGGTGCTAATTTGACCAAAAAAGCTTTAAAGAACATTTCTCACTGTCATTACATTTATAAATTAAACACATTAGTCCCAGGCAGCACCAGATTTACTTTACAACCCTTTTTCCCCAAAATACTTTAGAAGTGCAGAAGACTTTATAATAACTACATAATTTATCAGTACATATGCTTTACTTCTGGTCTGATCTCTGCACAGTGCAGTAAGAGCAGAACTTTCTGCACTGGTGCCAGCAGCTCCTCATGCAGGCACCCTGCTCCCAGCCAGGCAGGGATGCACCCCCAGGACATGGCCAAGCACTCCCTGGCTTGAGGGTGGGCAGGAAAAGCAAGGTGGCAAAATACATTCCAGTGGTTTGCTGCCTTTTTAATGCAACTGGCTGACATTTTTTTTTTAACAAAGCATAATCATTCAAAGCATGGAGAGGCATCACCCAAGGGAGGGCAGGGTACTCTTCAAGACAGTACTGTACATCTCTCCTGCTGGAACCAAGACAGAAACTTCCAGTGAGCAAAATGGCTGGATTTTCACCAAGGAAAGGAGCAAATACTGTAGTTCACTGTCTGAGAAATCTTTCCCAGCAGCTGGTCTACCTGGGTCCAAGAAATGTTCCATCACATAAAATAAAACAGCTCAACAGCAGAGTGTTAAGGGGAGTCCAGACCAGGATAACCTGGGTCCTAGGTTGGAAGGAGTTCATACAAAAATGGGACTTCAATTGGGTCCCTCATATTCTGGGTAGCACTTTAACCACCAAGTTGTAGGACAGAAGGGGGGATGGCCTCCACCTTCATTGCATTATCTACCCCTTGTTTCCACAAGGAATTTTTTGGGAGAAAAACCCCAAATTTTCAATTTGGTTTACCTGCACAAATAAAGGATTTCTTTTTCTTCACTATTCATTGTACCAGATAAACTAAATTGTCCACTATTGACACAGGCTTGGAATTACCAACAGAGAAAAATGGAGCCAATCTTGAAAATCACTAGTAAGTTCTGAAAATCATAGGTTAGAAAACCAAAACTTGGAAGTGGTGATGGACATACTCACTGTTCAACTTTACATAAATTGATCCCAGTATTTACTGCAGTAGAAACTGGCAAAGCATCCTAAAAACAATAAAAGTATCCCACTGAAATCAAGCTGCCATTGCTTTTCATCATTTTACACCTTGCTCCTCCTATACCCCACTATATTTTTGAATCAGAGGTTTAAAATTTAATATGTCACAGTACAGTAGGTGCCTGTTTTCTTATACAGCCCTAACATGCCAGACTGAAAACGATGCAATTTCAGGCACCATGAACAATTTCACTTGTCATTTTAAATATAACTTGTTACTGAATTAGGTGCCAGTTTTTCTCATTGGATCAATTAGCAACAGGGACAGAAAACTCATTCTCCAACTGTTAAATTGCAGAGAAGAATCCAGACGCAAGTTACACATAACAAGCATTTCTTAGACCCCCGTAACAGCAGCAGAGGGAGTAATTGCAGGATATCCCTCTGCCTGCAAATCTTCCTTTTTCCTGCCATGGTGATAGGCATTCATTAAATGGGTTTTTCAGAAGCGAAGGTGCCTTCAAATCCCTAGTTTAATGCTTTCACTGAGAGAAAAAAAATACATGTTTCACTACAGAATGCCAATTCAAAATAAAACACAACCATTTTGGCATGAAAATTTCCATGGCAATAGTTTCCAACAGGAGTAGACTCTACCAGCCACAAATATCTGTCTGCTTGATGCTACATGGTTCTCTGCAGGGCATGGAAAGCAAACTCTTTGCTTTTTTATATACCAAACAGATCTTCCTAGCTGCTAAACTTTTCAAAGTGATTTCTAAATTATCATTTTCTCTTTTAATAAAAGGGTCGAAATGAAATGTTCAACGAAATGAAAACACAGATGTGGCCAACATCTGGTCCAGCCTCTTAAGAGCTTATTTAAAAGCAGTGGCATCACGTGGCACAGCTCTGAGACATCATGGATTTCTTCTGTTAAGAAAAACAACCACTTTACTGCAGAGCACAGGCAAAAAATACGGTGGGCATTAAAAACAACAATACTCCTCCCTTTCCCTCCAAATCCAGTTGTTAAATGAAAGGATCACCAGGAAGAGCTTAGAGCAAGGACCAGCCTACTCCATCCCCATCCAACATCTCTGTAGCAAGTAGAGGAGGACAGGCACTTCAAGAGTTTTCCATAAGGTACTGAATCAGCTACATTCATCCTACCTAAAACCATCAATCATCCAGCCAGCTCCCCAAAAATTTAAAAATAAACTCCCCCCAGAGCCCTCCCTTTACAGCCTTCTAACATCTTTCCAACCAATTCCAGTAGACATGAGGGCTACAATCAGACACTGGGGATTAGGTTTGTAAACCTGTAGGATTATTTACTGTTCTTGTCATTACTAAATAGACACTAAATCATCTTTTAACACACTCTCTGCCCCTCTCCCTACCTCTGTACAGCCAGTTAAATGTATACATAGTGCTCTATTATGGGGATTTATTACAGAAGAATCATTCCACCCGATATATTTTAAACCCCACGTTTTTAAAAACATCCACGTGAAGAATATGTTTTTCTGTTTCTGTTACAGGAGGCAGCACTATTTATTGCTCTGCCCAGATAAGAGGATTTCCTTACAGACAGAAATGGAGGCTGAACACTTCCCAGGAAATCCTCTAGAGCAGATCTAATAGAAAGGCATTTGGTCCTCTGGTCCTATGCAGCAAATACATCCTTCACCACAACATTCCACAGCAAAGAGTTTAAACAAAGAACCTTTCCACCTATTTGGCACAAAACCAGACACTAAGCACCCCCAGTATTCAAGAAATACTTTGGGGCTAGAATAGGACAAAATCTGAAAAGAGTTGGGAGATGCATTTTCAGCGACAAAAATCCTTATGCAACAATCCAAATAACCTGAGCCTGGGGCAGCAGAAACACTGGGATTGATTGCTGCTCTCCAGGGAGGGATTAAATCCAATAGGAGCCACAAAAAGCTCCCGCAGACCATCGGAGGGACCCAATGGGCAGAAATGCTTTAACATCTCAAATTGATGAGCGATGCCGGGGCCACTTTGGGGAGCTGCAACGAGTGCAAA